GTGTAAAGTCGTGCACCAATCTGGAGAATTCAGAAATGCAACGGTTGGAACGGCTACTTCCCTATGACTTTAAAGAAAGATTTGTTAACTGAATAGTTCAAATTAACGATAGATTATTAACCTGCTAAGTATAATAAGATATCTATCTGCTGGCTACAACTACTTAGTTATTCTAAATTAATGATGAGGACCAGCTGGGTGCCGTCTGAAAGGGAACATAGTTGTACATTTGTTTTGTTTCTTTTTGCTTCATTTGCATTTTTCGAGAAGAATTAAACCAGGATTAATCTAGCCTTTATTGAGCCTATTGCATGTCTGTAAATAACAAAAAGGCCAAACAACTAAGCCAGAAAACTCAGAGCTGAAAATTTACATTTACCAACCAGACCTGGCAACAGGACCAGCAGAAATAATCTGTCCTTTATTAAAGTTATAATGAAACCTAATGGAATATATATATATATATATATATTTTTATATGTATATATATATATATATATGTGTACATAGATACAGCTGTGTTTTTTTGTTCTAAATAAGCTGTTTTTTTGATAGGATGCAAATGTAGTTTAAAGTTAATGTATATTTAACTTTTTACCCTTCTGGTCATTTTCCTTTGTAAGTATAAAGATAGAAATTACATTGAAAATGTGAATCAGACTCTTGAGTTCATCTTTAGTGCCAAATTCATGGTCGCTCCCCTGTTCCTAAGAGCATTTTAAAGCGGGGACAGGCGATGTAGCCGAGGACCTACCAAGAGGACGGCGATGATGCAGATGTTTTTGGGGTCCTTCCAGAATTTGTCTCTGGGAATCACCTTGGCGTAGTGGACCAGTCGCACGGTGAAGACCAGCAGGCAGAGCAGCTCCACCAGCATGGTGACCTGGATAGATGAAAACAACGTTTCAGCAGCACTTCTGGATCTACTGATTCACTCTGATTAACTTTTTACCAGCTGTCTGAAGAAAACCGTTGCTTAAATTTTTATACAAATCAAACTTGCTGGAAGCAACATTTTTTTCTTTGCAGCCGCTGTCCATTTATAGACTGACATTAAACCCATTCTTCTTGGGGAAATAGCTCAAGCCCAGTCAGACCAGATGGATGCAGCTTAGTGATTTTGAAAACTCTATAGATTTCCTCTTGGATTTAGAGACTTTGACTAGGCCAATCTAACCCATCAAACACTGATCTCTTTTGTTTTTCCAGCTTTTTTAATGTCATTAAACTGTCACAACTACAGAGCAACGAAAAGAACTCTGCATTTAACACATCCCCTTGGGGAGCATTGTACTGTAGGGGTTAAGGGTCTTTGCTCAGAAAGCCAGAGTGGCAGCCTGTGGGAGTGGGGCTTGAACCTCTGGATTCCAAGCAAATTGCCCTAACCACGCCGCCACTCCCCAAACCGTCCCGCTGGAGCTCTGGCTGCCTGCTTAGGGTGTTTGACCTAATCTTTTGTCCAGAGTCGATTTTTCCCTTCAGCATGGTGCCACCACCACCGCCACGTTTTTCTGTGAAGATAGTCATGTGTACCGTTATTTTGCACCATGTAGGCCGTCTTCTCCCTTCCCCATCTGCTGTTTTTTGGTCTTCATGATGCCGCTTGTTCACTAATGCTCTCTAGCAAACCTGGATTTATCACCTTACTGATTAAAGGATGAAGAGCCTGTTTTTTGCTTCCTAACAAGCTGAATTGTTGCTCTTTTTATGTCGCCTAATATATTAAAATAAACAGAAGTTTCAGTTCCAAGTGAAACCTGAAGGATTGGCATTGCTTTAAAAGAGAGCAGGCCACTTTATGGTTTGTAAAAGATGCATAAAAAAGTGTTGGAGAAACTGTGAATACGTTTTCCTCCGAGTTCTGGTGAAAAAGCAGGAGACGAACCGATCACTGTTCATAAGATTGGACTTTAGAGCTCATTAAGCTCTTTTATGACGCGTTTCTTTTTTAGTTCATAACTCTGAAAGGGAACTCGCCCAGCGGGAGAAGAATGGTCTGTAAGGTCTGGTTCATTAACATCTGTTAAATGTTCAGATTACTGAAGTCTAAACTTGAACCACATTAATAAAAACAACAAAAAAAAACCTTAACAAGTTAGTCCTATTATTTTTATGTCATTATAAACATTTTTGGAGCAAAACACTGACTGCAGCTTAATTTGTTTTCTGAAAAATAAATTTAAAATATAAACAATGTCGAAGATCTATTGAGATTGAAAAAAAAGAGAGGGCATTCTATAATCTATGCACCTTAAAACCTCTGATCCATTTTAAACCAGAAATAAACCCATTTAAAAGGCTAAAAAGGGAAAAAGAAAAACATTTTAACTATCGGTAGAAGATTGCATCTTCTTTACACCTGAAAAGCTATTTCCTTTGATTTATATTCAGACTGTGACCAGAAGTTCTCATTTTTGTTTTTAGAATGAAATAAATCCGGGAAAGTCACCCTTACTATAACCGATTTTCCATTTCTCAGAATTCTCTACTCTATATTTTAAAATCTAATTATATTTAAGGTTTATATATAGGTTTCTTCCTGTTAAAAGGGAGTTTTTCCTCTCCACTGTCGCTACAAGCATGCTTAGTGTTAGGGATTGCCTTCGAGCCAATGATTCAATGCAATCACCTGGTTTTCCTTAGGTGGAAAACTTTAAATCAATTTGACTGGATGATCTAGTTGAACTGTAAAATGTCTTGAGATGACGCGTGTTGGGAATTGGCGCTTTATAAATAAAATTAATTGAATTATATCTAATAAACACCGTGTTGAAAGCTGCTGGTTAATATAGTTTGTGTGTCATTCTGCTGTAAACATGGAGCAGACAGAAGATGTAAAGGTATGAGATGCTAATCATGGGATGTGGGGGGGCACATTCTGTGTGTGTCCAGCAGAGTCTACCATCGTACCCACGTGGGCAGAGAGAACACAGCCGGCTCCTCGAATATGGCCAGGGACAGGGTGACCAGGATGAAGAAGAACAGCAGGACCTTTAGGATCCAGTGGTTGTAGAGGAGGTAGAGTCTGGAAACATAAACACATCACAAATCCTCATTCCAAGACATTTCAATTTAAAGATAGTAACCGGGATTTTATTTCCTAAATTTCTCTGGATGCAAAGCGTTAAAACATATTTTTTTAAACAGGCTCGTCAGTGTAGACATAATCCCCCCGGTGACTGCTCATTCTTCCCCGTCCGTACTACTAATGACGAACTAGGATCTTTTGACAATATAAGAAACATATTTTGTTTTATTATTACAACCAGGAAAATATTATCAGCTACATTAAGGGCCGGATTTATCAAGATCCAATTTTGCGTGCAGTAATTTGCGCTCGCAAACTGGAATTTTGCGC